TTTTGCTCTCTTCACAGCCCCACGTAGATCAAGAAGATGAAGATGAATTAGAAGATGAAGATGAAGATGAAGAATTAGAAGATCATCAGCAGCAACAGCAGCAGCAGCAGAATCAGCTATCTGGATTCTCCCTCAGTAGACTCAATAAAGGACAGTATTGGATCCCTACGCCCTCTCAAATCCTCATTGGCCCTACACAGTTCTCTTGTCCTGTTTGCTACAAGACCTTCAATAGATATAACAACATGCAGGTAAACAAAAAAACAAAAACAAAAACAAAAAACCCATCTTTTTAATTCATGGATTAGACCTAGATTTGTATTAAAAATTTGATCTTTTTGCATGGGTTGATTTAATTGTGGTGAGATCAGTGATTGAACAACACAGGCAATGTTCTTTGTGCCTCCCTTTGGTACTTTGAACTCTGTGCTATCTGATATCTGCTGCTGATCTCTTCTCCCACGTTTTGGCTTTTGAGGGTTTTTAATTATGAAAACTCTCTCTGTGATCTGTTTTGGCAGTTGCTTTTTGCTCAGAGTTTCTCTCAGGAAATTAATTATATTATCTGGGTTTCTTTTAGATTATCCAAAGACTGAATTTTTCTGTTGTTTTTCTTCTTTCTTGGGAAACAAACGCATTTTCTAATCCCTATTCAGTGTAGAAACTTGAAGGTGGATTCTTCTTTGATTGCAAAGTTTTGGTCTTTATGTTACAATGAGAGAGGAGAGCTAGAAAACCAACTTTGCAAGACTGTATTGATGAATATAACCACCCCCATTTTGCCTTGTTTTAATTTCTCTTGATGATAGTGGGAAAGTTTCTTCCTTTTTTTCCCCTTGAAAAATGTGATCTGGGTTTGTGCAGAATTGATTGTTTTTCAATTTTCTTCACTTTTTTTTCTCAAATGGGTGTTGCAGAATTTGCTGTTTTTTTTAATTTGCTCCCCTTTCTCTCAAATGGGTGTTGCAAAAATTTGTTGTTTTTTTGCAATTTCTTCCCTTTTCTCTCAAATGAGTGCTGCAAAATTTTGTTATTTCCCAGTTTCCTCTCTAGTCTCTCAAATGGGTGTTCAAAATTTCTTATTTCTCAATTTCCTCTCACATGTAAGTTGCAAAAATTCCCATTTTCTCCATACAAAAAGCACAACTTTTCTCCATCTCCATCAATCTCGCCCCAAATTTCCCAAACTAAGAACCATTTCAAACATCCCTCAAGACCTAACCACGTAACTCAACCGTAAAGACATCGTTCGAATCTCCCCTTAACCAATCAACCCCACATCAATTTTTTATTCAAAAACAAGGGAGAAAAGAAAACTTTCTACCATCATCAAGAACACCCAAAAAAATAAAAAAGCTAGAAGAAAGCAAGTGAGAATTTGGGATGAGTACATATATGACTTATTTTCCTCTTCCTCCCTCAGATGCACATGTGGGGGCATGGCTCGCAATACAGGCGAGGCCCGGAGTCCCTCAGAGGCACACAGCCCACCGGGATGCTGCGGCTGCCGTGCTACTGCTGCTCCCCGGGCTGCCGCAACAACATCGACCACCCGCGCGCCAAGCCCCTCAAGGACTTCAGAACCCTTCAAACTCACTACAAACGCAAGCACGGCATCAAGCCCTTCATGTGCAGGAAATGTGGCAAGGCCTTCGCCGTGCGCGGCGACTGGCGAACGCACGAGAAGAACTGCGGTAAGCTCTGGTACTGCATTTGCGGGTCGGATTTTAAGCACAAGAGATCCCTCAAGGACCACATCAAGGCCTTTGGCCACGGCCATGCTGCCTATACTGCTGCTGCGGCTGCGGCTGGTGATCGCCATCATGGGTTCGAGTTGGAAGACGATGAACCTGCCTCTGAAGTTGAGCAAGATTGAGGACGATTGAGATGTATTTGTGTTGTTTGTTCTAATTTAATATGATGATATGGGAGGTGGTTTAGTTTCCCCTTCTGATCTTCTGTTTCGTTTTAGTATGTATGTATGTATAATGTAGTTTTGTTGGGACATTATTGTTATTCTTATATGTGTTCACAAAATCTAGGTGTTTTGATTTTTAGCCATTTTAGCCTATGTTTTTTTTTTCTTTTGTAAATTGATTGGCCATTTTTATTTGCTCTCTTCTTGTTTAGGTGTGATGTGCATCATTATAGTTGATAGTGTTATATCATTAATAAAAATTCGACCATTTTTTAGTTTTATGATGTGCATCATTATAGTTATAGTGTTATATCATTAATAAAAATTCGACAATTTTTTAGTTTTATGAGAACAAAATAAAAAATATATATTTTTCTTTCATACTTATCAAAAATTTAATAGTACTCAATAAAATAGGAGGACTATAAGCATCTAAGTACAATAAAATAGGAGGACTATAAGCATCTAAGTATTTTTTAGGTTTTATGTTAATTTTCTCTTTGTTTGATGTTGAAAGCAATGTTGAATGAATAACCCATCCCTATTCATCCGACAGTCGGAAATTCTTGTTGTCCACCACTAAATTTTTTTAGTGGTGTTTGTTTTTTTAGAGAAAAAGTATATATCTCTTCTCCATTCTCTCTCATATCGATCAAAATCTTAGTTTCTACGGCCTAATTGGTAGGTAAATACTATCCGATAAAGTTGCTACTAAACCCTAGAAGTTTAAGATGACAGGTTATTACTTTTGACACCCTCAGTCACTAAGCTTAAAAATCAGCACAAAATCCAATTAAGAGTATTAATTATCAATATTAATTGAAACAAAAATGCAGCCATTATGTGGGATGATATAAGAAGGGCCGTATTTTCTCAGTTCACCGAATCTCATTTCTTTTGTAATTATGACATTTCTACTATTTCTTTAAATTGAAGTACTTTTATCAAACCTCCCTTCGAGGTATGTTTGAATGGTATATTGTTCCTCTCTTCCAAAAATTAAAAGGAAAAGCAAATGATATTACAAAAGTCTGAAAATATAGGATCTTCTACACCGATACCCACGTTAAATCACTAAGCTTGAATTTATTATACAGAATGTGTCTCATTTTTCTCCTTCTCTAGACACACTTATCGAGAGTTAGCAGCAAGCCAAGGTTGTGTGATGTATGGAACATGTTCTGTTCTTTGTTTTTGTTTTGTTTTTTTTTCCTCTGTCGTTTGGTGTGTGTTTCTCTCTCCTGAATTGTACATACGAGTGGGAAAAATACAGGTGCATGGAGGGAGATCTATAGGCGTACACATATACATGGAAACCATAAATGCTGTGATTAATTACACTTCCATAAAAGGTCAAAGAAAGTTGATTGATGTGCGTAAAAGAAGAGAAGCATTGTTCAAGTAAGAAAAAAAGAAAAAAAAAAACCTCTTTCTCTCTCTCTCTCTCATCTTCTTTTTATACACATATTTTGCTGTTTTCAGGCTCTTTTTTTTGCTGATCTTTTGATTTTTCCTTTTAATCATTATTTTTCCTTTTGAGATCTTCATGATGGCTCGTATAATTCACCAACTTATTCGTAAATTTCAAAGCTAAGAGTGAAAAAAAAAAAAAGAATTTCTCTCTCTCTCTTTCCTTTTCTTTTCTCTCTCTTTAGGGTTAAATGTTTGTAGACTTTTGAGCTTCACTTCTCTGCAAATTGGTACTACTAATCTTCAAATACGATCAATGTGCCCCCTTTTTTGTTGCTTTGCTTTTGCTTGGTGGGAGAAAAGTTGAAAATAAAGAGATCTTTTGCTCTTAGGGTTAAATTTGTTATGTTTGTCATGTGGGGTTTGAGAGCTCTATATGACAAATAATATCAATTGCATTATGTTACCTCTTCAAAATTTTCAATAAATTCACGAGAAAGATTGTTTTTTTTTATCTTCTTAATCAGGTGAGCTATTATCAAGCTATTCGTAAGTGAGGTGAGGCGGCAATATCTCCTTAGATATGATATTTTTTAAGAAGACTTTGAAAATAAAAAAAGAACAACCTAAAGTTAGACCCAAAAAGTCTAAGCCTACAGTATTACATCATTTGGATAAATGGCTCAAAAATCATCTAGCATAATTGTGAGATAAAGTATTAAAAAAGCATATAACGCATATATACATCAAGGATATTATGATTACAAATTAACAAATATAGGTTAATCAATTATTACTATGATTATAGGGAACGAAATGACATCTAGGTGAATAATCGATTATGTAAATCAACCACGGTTACATGCGAAATCAAAACACACAATGGTATATTGCCATAATTAAAGTTGACTACTACTGATGAATCGAACTATTCATTCAAGTCTCATTTGATAGCGATTTCATTTTTAGTTTTTTTTAATTATACTTATTTTCTAACTATTTCCTTGATATGTGTTTTTCATCTCTTTTGATCAATAATTTGGGCCTGTTGAACTTAATGGGTCCTGTCCTCTTCTTCATGATCTTCTTCGTGAGTAAAGGCACCGCGCCATAGGTACTAGCTAGGGTTTCTCTTGGCCGTCCCAACTTCATGCATTTTTCATCTCTCGCAGGCATATTTAAATTCTTTGCCAAATTCAAAAAAACAAAAACCAGTGTTAATAGATCTTTAGGACTTTTCCTTGAGAGTAAAAGTGGTTCGGACAAAAACTTTCAATGGATTTCAACCACATGGTCCTTCATGATTTTACTTTTGATTGTCTCATACCAATAAAGATATTGTTCTTCACTTATATACCCATAATATCTTCCTTTTAATTTCTTAGCTAATGTGGAATTTTGGTTGCACTTTTAACAATCCTCCTCCGAACAAGGTACCAGTAGACCCTCCTCCAATATTCCATTTGTCAAACTCTTACTCATGTCAACTACTCTTCTTCAGAATACATTGTATGTCCAATAGAGCTAATTAACCATAGATTTCATTGTGGGATAATAGGTGTTGACCAATCATTGTCACACTCTTAACAATACTTCCATTCTATCAAGATTCATGGAGTTCCATCTCAAAATCAATTGGCAATGAGACGAGTAATCCATGTCTATTATAAATCTTTGTTAGGTCTCTTACTATAAGACTTACCAATATTTTGTTCAAATTTTGAAGATTTCACCGACACAGCTAGGGTTGAGACCATGATTATGATACTGCTAATTAGCTTGTTAAGGGACAACAGACCATTCACATTTCCACAATAGTATGATATTGTTCACTTTGGACATAAAATCTTGTGACTTTTCTTTTGGTTTCACCCAAGATATCTCATCTCTATTATTTCTTACCTATATGCACATGATTTTCCCTTACTTTGCCATTGTGAGACTTTGCTCGCATTTCCAATAAAAATTAAAAAAAAAACTTTTTTCTAGCTTTGAAATTTTGAAACGTTTTAAAATTAGACAACAAAACAAAGAAACACGGGTAGAAATAGTACATGTAATATAAAAACAGAAAATCACAAACAAAATAGTCATCCAACAGAGAACTCCAAATTCCTTGGATTTCATATCCGCGAAGATATAGAGAGACCCGTTGTTCTAAAGAAGGAAGGAAGTTGAATGATAGATAAAAGTGGGTGTAATGAGATGTTAATGGAGGGGGTATATAAGAATGGATTTGCAGTGGAATAGATACTGGTGGCAGCTTTTGCATAGAGAGAGAGAGAGATGGGCAAAAGGTATGCAGAGGCTAAGGGGAAAGAGGGGAAGAGAGAGGGGTATGTGTGGGGACATAAAATTTGTACAGATGCTTCCTATTCTGCATACACACATCCCCTCTTCTGATGGATCAACTGTACACTGAAACGACCTTTCACCAACTCTTTGACTATTACTCTCTCTTTCTTCTCTTCTCTGCCACACACTTCTTTCAAATCTCACCCCATTCTTCTTTTTCTTCACCAATTCTTCTCGCTCTTCTTTTTTCTCTCTTTTTCAATTCTTCTTGATGAGTGAATGATAATGCATGTTGTGCCCAATGGGTTGGTTTGTTTGAGTTTAGAGAGGAATTTTGATTTGTTGTTTAGGGTTCAATGAAATGAATTTATGAGATGTATCGTCGCTATTGAGTAACTGTTTTCTAAAAGAGACATTATTCGTTCAAAAAGTATGCGAGAAATGTTAAGGATCCCACGTCGAAAAGAAAAGGGACTTTACATAGGTTTATAATAAACATAAACTACTTCTCTCATTGTCCAATTGATTTTGAGATAAAACCTCATGAATCTTGATATGGTATCAGAACCAAAGAACCAATAAACTCTTAATTAATCTACCGAACAATTATATATATAACATTGATTATGGGTTAAAATGATCATAGTAATATCTGAACTTAATCAGTAAACTCTTAATTAATCTCTAGAACAATTATCTTTTTTTTTCCTTTTTTCCCTTTAGAAAAATGCTAAAATAAAAACCTCAACATAAAAATTGAAAGTGCAATAAATAAAAATGGGAGAAAAAGGAAATGATATATAGAATGAAATAGTTTAGTGAGAAGAAGGGTAAAAGTTAGAAATAGTAAAATAGAACAAAAGCATTTAGTGGGCATTAAATAGGTTTCTACCCCTTTGGGAAAGAGGAGACCCTACCACAATTTGACCATACCCTTTCTTTCTCT